AATATAACCAACTACAAGATTAGGTGACATGGAGAAAATGAAGGAGGGAAGGAGAATAAGGGGAACGTGGTATGTGAGGGCAATGGGGGTGGAGAAACAGGGAAAATGACAGGCTTAAAGGAGGAATTTGTGGGTTCTATTTTGCTATTGGATCATGATGCATAGTCAAGACTGCTAGCTATTTACCAAAGACCCATTATTACCTCATCTTTTTAGGTACGTTTCCCTGCCACTGTTAAAATGAACAGTGGCTATGCAACTGAATTCCAGCCAATGGAATGAGAACACAAGTGGTAAGTGCCATGCCACCTGGAATGGACCTAGGTTCTTGGGCACAAAATGAAGTTAGCCTGGGTCCTCATAGGGAAAAGGGACATCTGTTTAGGACTGTTAGTATACCTAAGACACACTGCACTTTGGGTCTATCATTAACAGCAGTTTAGAGTATCCTAATACATCATGCTTCCTCCAAAAATATCCTTACCTGGCAGATTTATTTACAGAAATTTAACAAGAGGAAAAGTTAGAATGGTGACTGGATATGCTCAGGATTTCCAATTCCCAAACTGCTTATCAAGTAACAGTGATGTTAACTGCTAAAAATGTATAATGGACAGATTAGGACAACTAAGGCCAAGGCCATACTCTTATAATAAAAGTGGGTGAAGTGCCAAAGTGAAGGCCAGGGTTTTATGATATGTACTTACCTGGTAGCAACATCATTTATGGTGATGTTGACTTTAGTGCACTCACCTGGGAGAGACATGTGGACACGAGGAACAGGGTATGTTAGCAAATATGAATTAGGAGGGTGTTTTCAGGTATGTGTAAGATTATATGGAGGAAAATAATGAGGAAATCCTCATTAAAAAGCAAATAGACTGAAATAATCAGAGTGGTGATAAGTTTGCAACAACCATGCCTGTATTTAGAATTTACCAGATGTGAGAAGTGAAGAGGCAGTTTTTGAGGGTAGTGTGTGGATAGGTAGTAGGGAAGAGATGGTTTTCCCCTTCTGACCGAAAGCACCCTCAGATTCCACCATGTTTTTGAAATGTTTGCATTTTTTTCAACAGGACAGCAGACTTGCCACATAGTAATTTGTTCTAGTATTTTTTTTCTCCAATTCTTTTTTTTTCCTTCCAGTACTGGGGATGGAACCCAGGGCCCTGCACATTCCCAGCCCTTTTTATTTTCTAACAGCGTCTCACTAAGTTATTTAAGTTGGCCTGCCATAATCTCCCAAGTCGCTGAGATTATAGGTGTGCACCTATACTATAATCACTATACTCAGTTCGTTTCTCCAATTCTTTTTGATGTTTTCACATGATTTGTGAAAATATTTGCTGACAAAAGAATGTATTTTGGGTTGGGGTTATGGCTCAGCGGTAGATCACTCGCCTTGCACGTGCAAGGCCCTGGGTTTGATCCTCAACACCACATAAAATACATAAATATAATAAAGTTTAAAAAATGTATTTACACTTTATAGCATGACATTTTACATCTATTCAACCTGTTACCTTTTGTACTTACTGTTGTAAAATATATATGAAATTTACTATTTTTAAAGTTACTATTAAGTATATTCACAATATTGTGCAAGCATTATAACTATCCATAGCCAGAACTTTTTATCAATCCATACTAAACTGTTTCATCCTCAATACAAATTCCTGGTAACCTCTATTTCCTGTCTCTATGAATTAGGCTAAGTATCTCATGTAAGTAGATTCATACACTATTTATCCTTGTGTCTGGCTTATTTAATTTCACTGATTTTAATATGGGGGGAAAGTGTACACTCATACACTGTTGATGGGACTACAAATGAGTGCAATGACTCTGAAAAGCAGTATGAAGATTCCTCAAAAAACTAGGAATGGAAGCACCATAAGACCCAGCGTGGACATATACCACTTCTTGGTTTATAACCAAAAGATGTAAAATCCTATGCTACCGGGGATGCAGCCACTTCAATGTTTATAGCAACACAATTCACAATAACTGAGCTATGTTCCCCTTCAACACATGAATGAATAAAGAATATGTGGTATATATACACAATGGAGTATTACTCAGCCATAAAAAATGAAATTATGGCGTTTTCTGGTAAATGGATAGCTAAGAAAAATAAACCAGACCCAAAAAGTCAAAGGTCCAATGTTTTCCCTGATATATAGAAGCTAGTCCAAACTAAGGGGGCGGGGGAGAAAATGGGGGGGGGGGGAGATTCCATCAAAAGAGGATCAGTGGAATAGAGGAAGAGGATTGAAGGGGAGGAAGGAGGAACTTGATAAGGGAAGAACAATGGAATGAATCTGACCTAACTTTCTTATGTACACATATGAACATACCACAGTGAATCTCACAATTATGTATACCAAGGACCCTAATTTAAAAAATCATAGCAGAAAGATCACTAGAGGGAAGGGAACGGGTAGGGAGGACAGAGAGAGGGAAGTACTGGGAACTAAATTAGAGCAAATTCTATTCCATATTTTTATAAATGAATCCTAATGTAAAAAAAAAGAACCAATATAAAAGTGAAAAAAAAACTGAAAAAAAAGAATTGCATCCCTTTTAAAGACTAAATATTCCATTGTATGTATGTACAATAGTTTTTATCTGCTGACAGACATTATACCTTTTGACTTATATGAGTTATGATGTACTGAACACTGATGTCCAAGTATGAGATTCTCTTTTAATTCTTCTGGGAATATATACCCAAAGTGGAATAGGTATAGCATATAATAATTTGTACTGTTCTCCACAGAAGCTGCACCATTTTACAGTCCCAACAGCAATACGCAAGGTTTCTAGTTTCTCCATATCCTCACTAACACTATTTTCCCTTTTATAAAAAACTAGCCACCCTTATGGGTATGAAGTAGTGTTTTCTTCTATAACTACATCAGGTGTTTCTCAATGCTAAATACCTTAACTACTAATATTAAGAAATCTATAGGTGTCTAAATTGTTTACTATTAACATACAGAAATTCTGAAATAACAGGAATGTAGAGCAAAGAAAACTGCTATGTATTCCAAGGAGGGTGTCCTTTTGTCTCCATGTCCTGTTTACAATATAGCCTCTCTTGTTGCCTGGAATGGCCTTTGGGACTTTGTTTTTTTTTTTTTTTTTTTGGTGGGGGGGGGGGGAGGGGGAATTTTTTAATATTTATTTTTTTAGTTTTCGGTGGACACAACATCTTTATTTTTTATGTGGTGCTGAGGATTGAACCCAGTGCCCTGCGCATGCCAGGCGAGCGCGCTACCTCTTGAGTTGTAGAAAAATCCCCAGAAATTTAAACCTCCCTTCTTTACTGAGCCAAGTGTAAGTGCAATCCTTCCAAACCTTAAAAAAAATCAGTGGTTTTCCTCCCAATAACACTATTAATAATTGTAGGGGCTCTTTTTCAAGTCTAACAAGTTCACATATTAATGGAATGCAATGCGTTAAGTAAAATAAAATTTGAGGCTTTGACAGTAATCACTGTAGTTATTTAACTTTATTTTAAATACGAAAACCGTAAAACATAGTATTTATGCAAACACCTGAGGACTGTTCAAATGAGCACAGAATCTTCATACAAACAATCTGAAAGAAGATCAAGTTTAAGGAAGAATCTAGTCTTATAAGGAGTAACAGATGAAACAATCCTTTAAATAAGTGCATTCTTATCTGAAGTAGATTTGGTTTTCTAAAAAGAAAATGTACATTCTTGCCCTGGTGAATATTTTATTGGCATTTATAGGAAATACTTCTATAACTGATTCTCATAGCTTATAAACATTATACCAAAATTATGCAAAAATAACAACAAACATATAGCACCATTTCCCTTTGAAAGTTCTAACTGATAAAATAAAGTCCAAAACAATAAGTCAGTACTAATGTATCTTTCAAAATGTAGCAGAATGGCTCAGAACTAATCAAATTAATTAGAAACATTGCATAGGACTGAAAACTTCCCTGTATGGAAACCAATCTATGGATTGTTTCTTATCACCTGAAGAGTAAGCTAGGAGGTACTGGTGATAGAAAATGATGCACATATTTTTTAAGGAATAAAAACATCTAACTATATACATAATTCATAATCACTCTGTGGCAGTGCAAAGTGCCATATTAAATTCAAAAAGAAAACATTTACTTATGTATACCTATAGGTATACAATAGTATATAAATATGGTAAAGTATCCACGAGGAATAAACACATACAATAAAATATATATCTTTTAACATTTGGACACAGGTATTTTGATAAAGAGATGTGAGAAATGAATGAGTACTTAATGTCCAAGCTTAGCAAAAATATATAAAGTTTTAAAATAACAGGTATTTATTGAAAGAAATTTAATCTGACTCCATTTAAACCACACTTGTAGTATAAACATCTGCACAAAATGATCATTCTATCTATCCTATTGTTATTATCAAAAACTGATAAGAACACTTTATGAAGCTTATAAGCTTTTTTTAATCTTTAAATATGAAGAAGTACCACACTGAGAGAGCTAATAACAGAAAGGAAAATAATTTATATGGCTATTCCCTTTCTAGAAACTGATAAAACATGAACAGAACACTGCAGAATCAGACCAAAATATTGAGGAAGATATGACAGCTACAGGTACATCTCTTCTGAGAAAAAATTCTTATGGATTTAATCTATGACATTTTCCCCTTTGGGATTTAGCTGTTTTGGTTCTACATATAAAGATTAAACAAAATCAAAGGTTTTTCTCTGTTTACTGAATGGAGTATATTTGTAAACTACACAAAGAAAGTAATAAAAATACAAAGAATGAGCTGCCAATTTGGGTATGTTAATGCTCTCATGTTAAATGGTTTTTAAAATAGACTGGACTGTTAATGTAATTCTGAAAGAACATTTTGAAGAAATTTCTACAAAACAAAACTGCTCAAAGAATACTTTTAAAATTAAAATGTTATCAGTACACCTGAGAAATTTTGTCAATACACATTTTTTTCAATCATATTTTCCTTCTTTAAGTTTTTCAATGTAGTAACATAGCTTTAATGCTGGTCCCAGCTTCAGCCCCATATACTTCATCATCACATCACTCTTCAGTAGCAGCAGAGCCTTCCCATCAATTTCCTATAGAGAGAAAAAAATGATAAAATTAATTTTTTCATATTTTGTCGTTATTTATACATGTAAAACAGAGAGCAGCTGTACGTTCCAGATATGTATTCTCTGAATATGCATTTCCTGAAAACTATTAAAAATAGAATTTGTACAGTGAAACGTTATTTGATGATTTGTAAATTTACTTCAAATTTTAAGAAAAAAGAAATTTACCCTAGTATCTTTGGTTAGTGTCCTAAACATCATCTGATTTTAAATACTGTGCTGAGTAAAATACGAGTATGACAAAGGGTCAAAAATTATAAATGGTAATTTCAGACAGTCATTAACTTTCTAAGAAGAGCTAGGACTATGTCAACATCAATGCAAACTGTAAATGTGCCATACATTATTATCTTTAGGTCGAATGCTAACCACTTAGTTGTCTAAAGTTAAGTTAGATGCCCAAACTAATTACCAATTTTCTTATAATATTAAAAAGACTATACCAGATTATTAGAGTACTAATTTTATTTGGAAGAAAAAACTATAAAAATATTACTTAATAGTCACAAGGCATCCTCCTAAAATTCTTTATTACCTTAATTAACCAATTTATGCTATGGAAGTATATTATTTGGTAGTCATGAGATCCTGTTTAAAATAAAGGCATATTTAATCTTATATAGTTGCTGGATTTATTGGGTATCATAGTAAGAAGGCCACCCTGTTACAGATTGTAGTCGCCCCCTCCTACTCATGGTCCTAGGGCTGAGCAGGGGGTGGGGAGGATCCTTGTATATGTCTTTACAAAAAGGGCGGTCCACCTGAAAGTGGCAATGCGGAATCATCCTCTTGAGAATGTGAGGCTGTTTAGAATATTAGGCACTTGGATACCCATTTAAAGAAAGACAATTAACCTACCATTTAAGGATCTAATGTTGGGCAAAATAACTTTTCTCTTAAATGGAAAAATCAGTTGATAGGGTTCCCCCACCATCCACACAACTCAGTATCCAACTGAAAGGCCTGCACAGAGGTCAGTCATAATGGCAGCAGGAAAACCGGATCAAAAGATACATTACATGTTGCCTGAAGAGGTCGGCGAGGGGGCCTGATATCTGAGGATCTGTATGTTTCATAAACTGTATCACTTCATCCACAGACCAGGTTGAAGGGTCCTTAGAGAAGCCTTGATTCAGGACACTGGGGTCAGGTACAGCTATATAACTTGGAGCTTCAATGGGGGGAAAAAAAACAAATCATACTTGACCTGATCATTATACTGAAAGAAGAGATGTTAGGTAGGGAGTAATGGTCTCATTCCTGGAACCTTCACTTACGTACCCAAGCAAGGACGCAAGACTCCAACTGTAAAATCTAGTAAAAGCCTACATTAAAGATGATCAAAACAGCTGCATAAGAGCATCCCATCTGACCTCCCCCAAACGATAGCAGCTTCAGAAGCTCCCTTAAAGCTTCAAAAATCAATTAAACAGACCAAACAATCCAAGGCCTCTTTGGCCATGCAGCAAAAGATCTATTACTTGGATTACATTAGATTAATCTAACCTAATCCATTACACTATTTCAATGAATTTTTCTCAATCTCTCTTTTTAATCTAAATTTGTTTTATTTTACTAGCTAAATACAATGGAAACTCCCCAAATTTACAAGTTTATAATTGTTTAAACTTATTCACTTTAATCAGTGTTTCAACAACCCCATTATCTTGGAGAACCAAATTAGTTCTTTTATCAAATCTCTCCTACATATTCAGTATGACTACTTTTTTCATCACCTTAACTTTTTAGATTAGTATCTCTTGTGACTTAAATGTGAATCTGAATTTAAGAAAATAGGACTATGATCTGCTAACCTAAGTCAGAACTTTTTAACATTTTATTTAATTCCTCCAATAGATAATTTGATTGGAGGTTTAGATGCTTAATAAAGCAATAACTGAGACATGGAACAATTTAGGTACTCATATCTCAACATACTTTAGCTGTGCTGTTAACTAAATTGTATTGACATTTCTTTCATCCTAACAAGTATTCATTCACTTAAGTAACGCAATAGACTCCTTAAAGACAATGGGTGATGATGATAACTGAAGAACAGTCAACACAAATTTGATCTTTTTGTGTGAATTAGCCAAAGGCATGTCCTTTCTTTCCTATCATCTGGGCTATGAACAAGTTAGGAGCATTTTGAATATTTACCCAATGAAAAAGTAAAGAAAAACAGAAGATCATAATGGTTCTTTTTTTGTGTGTGTAGCTCTGAATTTTATTACTTTTCTATCCAACATTCCAACTTCAACGTGAAATAATCTCTATACTAAAATATATCTCCTCACTACTTGTCAGAGAAAAGAAATTTTGCTGGGCTTTATCAATCCAGGTAAAAATGATGATGGTACAGACTATGTCCTACCTAAGGCATTCTGACGATTTGGACAGAAAAGCCATCTATCATCTTTAACTCAATAATGACACATTATATAACCTAAAAAGAAAAATCACTGGCAAGGCTAATTAACCTCTAAATTAACTTTTTGTGGGGTTTCTGGTTTCTATCATTAGAATCCGGTATTCTTATATATTAAATAACATGCAAGTAGTTTTACAGATTACTACAGATAAACTATATGTAAAGATACATTTCCTGGTATAAAAATAATTTTATATTAAAAAATAAAACAACTGTAAACTCTTCTATTTTAAAACTATTATGTAAAAGTAATTTAATTGGGACCATGTCTTCAAAACAATCAGAGAAGGTTACAAACATTACATTACTGCTATTCAAATAATTATATGAAACTAATTATGTGAAAAATCTAAGTCCAGTCATGCTTTTCTCCCAAATGGTTCCACCTAATATACACTGGGGTATCAATATTTCTAAAATAAATACAATAAATGTGAATTAATTTCCCCAACATTGTTACTAGATTTCTTTCATATAATAAAGATCAATTATTTTTTTCATTCAAATGATGGGCAAGGTAGGACAGGAGATTATAATGAGCATTACTGGCAATCAGGGTTCGTGAACTCAGCTTTAATTAACAGCTGGAGTAGCCTAAAGAAAATAATGGTAGTGACACCTCTAGACAGTTTCAAAGTAAAATGCTTTCTTGTTCTCTAGAAACACAGGCAGTGCAGTAGTTGAGTATGGCCCTGGAACCAAAGTGTCTGGGTTTAAGGACTGCCCCAGCCACTTTCTAGCTAAGGGACCTTACTCAAAGGACTCCTGAGATTTTTCATTTGAAAAATTTTACCAGCACCTACATCTCACAGAATTCTTTAAGTGATATAATGTATAAAGCTACAGAAAATATTACTTTCGTGGAATGTAGTGTCACATAGTGATGAAGATTATGATTTTATTACTATTAAGTAAATTATTAATAAGTAATATTATTACAACTAGCCTTTTTACTGCTAGGAAGACCAGAAGCTAAACTTCTCTACTTTGGCCAAGTAGTATTAGACAAACATTTGGAAGTGAGATAGTCAACATTATAAGTAAGCTTTTAGAGCCTTTTACTGAAGCCAGTCTTCCAAAGTTCATACTTTGTGAAAACACTTAAAATTTCAGGGTATATTACCCCTTAGGGAGTAAACATCTATCTTTAGACTCTGAAAACAATGTCACTCTAAGAGACAATCTCCACAGAAAGTGGGGGATGGAAATGACAACATTAAATATGTAACAGTATGTGTGAAATGCAGTTGCCCACAGATAACATCCATGATAAAAGACAAGGGGTTTACTTGGTTCCCACTTTGTTCACTTAACCTGGCCTAAATGCCCATCTGGAGGAAAAAGGACAGAACTCTTATTCCCACCCTCACTCTCCTGCACTCTTAACTCTTAAAGAAGTATGGTGCAGCAGCCATCTTTGCACATGGAAAGCTATTTTGACTCTTCGCAAATGGGAACAAGATGCTGCCCTATTTATATACGTAGCATTGTCGTGATGAGGGAATAAAAGAGGATGGATGTGGAGAATGGAGAAATTGTATGGCTGTGGCAATAGGATGCTAGAACCTCGACGCATGAGTTGCACACAGGGTGGGACCAGGAAGGGTCTCAAGAGGGAGAACAATAGATCAGAAAGGAGAGGAAATGTATCCTTCTAGGCCTCAGAGTCATGAGTCCAGATTGTACCCAGGGAAATGACAAATTACAATTGCTCCACAAAACCACTAATCTGAGAAGTTTCTATCAGAGACATGGTTGGTGATCCAGATCCCTAGAGACAATGCTGTGTTCGAATCCATGAGGATTAGAGCAACTATAATGATTTGGCCCTTACAGTGACATAAAGGAGAGAACTGGCCTCCCCGATTTTAGCATTTCCCCAGTACGAAACACTCTCAGGGGATACTGTTGTGTATGGAATCCTCAAGGGAAAAGATAAACACACGGGCTGAAAATCACTGTTTTTTAAATATACCTTCACTCTTCTTCTGCATTTGGAATTTATCTTCAGAGTAACTGCTCTTGGGAGATGATTTGGTCCCAACTAGTGTCGAACTTGAGGTGCCTGGTACATTCTGAGGAAAATCCTTGTAGAATGAAGTTTGCATAAGATTTCTACAGGCAGGATTCAAAGAATCTCCAGGGAGATTTTCCTCTTTGGGCATGCCCTCTCCCTCAGGAGATAGTAATTCTTCTACAAAGAAAAAGACAAAGGAGATTATCTTTAGATAACCTTCGTACAGCTCAGATACTATTAAAGGGTCAAAAATATCTTCATCTCCAACAACAGTTCACTTAATTCATGTTATACTGAACCACAAACTCCTGACACAAAGTACATGGCCATGACTTCCCTCCTCATCATTTATAATAATGGACACTGTCCTCAAAACCAAATTGGTTCTGTGAGGTCACCTATATTTCTCAGGGAAATTTAGTGTCTCTTTCCAGTCTTGCCACTAAAGCTGTGCACTCCTGACAAAATCATCTGTTCTTAGGAATGTAGTTCTTCACAACTATTTCGTTATAATATAATATATAACAGTTGGTTTCCAAAATCTGCTTACTTCTTGAGCAGTGAAAATTTTCACTGGAGAAAGGTACTAAGTTTTTCTATAAATCTTTCTAAAAATATTTTAGCAACATAAAATTGAATGGAAAAGGCTGTTACAAATTTTTTTCTTAATCTAGTGAGAAGTAACAGCTGTGCAGGATTTCTGAAGGAAATACAGTGCTGAAGCTGCCAAAGTAATATCCTTATTGCCAAACTTACTTGGGCAAATATACTCCCTACCCCCAACACCATTACACCAAAACATACATAAGTGGTAACAGAGGAATTTTCTTCTAGATCCTGGGGTGTATCACTGCTATTTACCTTTAGAGGCATGCATCTTTGTTTTGAGCAGCTTAGGAGAGACAGGAACACTACAAGGTACAGGTTGCTGAGGAGATCGTTTGATGCTTTTCTTTCCTGTTATTTCCTCTTTCACTGTTTCTATTTTATAAAAAGAAGTGTTATAACTAATTACAGTACTCAATTATTTTCATATCATCAGCATGAAATATGTTTCTAGATCATTTGCATACTATAACTTCATCAACAATGTCAATTATTTGAATGTTCAAGAATAACATGTGCTTACTTTTTCCTATTAAACATTTGCACTAGAATAATATTCAAGAGTACTTCCAGGAATGTCTAAACTTCATTTATTCTGGGGTCATCAGCTCTCTATAAATATTTCAGAAGACAGTGAGGCAACTCATTATAACGTACGTAAAGACCTTGAAAAATTGCTCCTATGTGCAAGAATAGTTAAGGGTTAAGATAAATTAAAGAAAAGATATGGTACAACAGAGGCATTATTTTGTAGACCAATCCTGACTTGGGCTTCTCTTATAACAATGTTAATGCTTATTATTCAACCAAATGCACTTGTACCTAACGGACCACTCTTTCAAGCATGATTCTGAAAATAAAGACACGTTATAGGTTAAGTTTATCTCTTATGTGAAATGCTTGGGAACAGAAATGTTTCAGATTTCGGAGTTTTTCGTATTTTGGAATATTTGCATACACTTTACTGGTTAAGCATCACTTATCTGAAAATCTGAAATGCAAAACACTCTGTAATCTGAAACTTCAAGCACCAAGGTGACACTCAAAAAAGTTCTGGACTTTAGAGCACTTTATAGAGTTTTGGATTAGGATATCCAACCAATAACCTGGTTTAACCTCAAACTAAAAGGACCAATAAGGTATAATAGAAATCTAAAGTCTGATAATAGAACTCAAAAGGGAAAAAAGGCTGCCTTGAGGAAGTATGAAAGTCAAACTTCACTGGATTAAAAATTCTGACTAGGGTCTAGGCATGTCTCTCAAAATCGTATGATGAACAACCTTTAGCAATCCAGTTTCTGACTGATTATCAACCAGTCCAGGAGAGCTCTTTAATACTTGAGTTTTATTTTTAATCATGGACCATAAAACCAACAGACAAAATATATTATATTGCACAACAAATACTATAGAATCTATCAATTAATTTAAATATTTAAATTCTAAGAAAAGAGGACTGGGGATATAGCTCAGTGGGAGAGCACTTGCCTAGCATACATGAAGCCTTGGGTTCCATCCCGACCACTGCAAAAAAATAAAATAAAATAAAATAAATGAATAAAATTAATAATAATTAAATTCTAAGGAAAAAATAATTTTCCCCTATTAATGATAGAGAAAATTCTAGTACTAACGTATTTTTCTATAGATATTTGCTTATCTCTAAATCTTAGCAAAGTTCTAAAAAGTCTATTTTTTAATTTATAATATACTAATGCTTTCATTGTGAAAAGTATATGAAGATTGTGTATTGTCTACTATCTGGAGCTGAAACAAACATAAAATTGACCCTTCTGCTTCTAGATATTATAGTAAGCTAAAGTAAGAAAGTGTTCCTACAGGGATAACTAAGAAAAAGATAAATTTATTTTCAAAGTCATCATAAGGAGGCACTTTCAGGATGACTCATGAAAAACCTTCAAAAATCCATTCCTTAACAAAAACACTGAAAACATCCCAGTTTAACTAACTAGTGAACCATCTCTACCCCTCAGGGCACACCTGGAATGCAGCCTTTGAAGAGCTGCTTTAAAAGCCCTCTGTTCTCCCTTATGGGCAGAACCATAGCCTCTGGGACAGGAGTCCCCTATACTTCCCCTTTGCTAACAAAGCAATAAACCTTATTTTCACTTTTTCTCAAAACTGTGTTCTCCTACCAAATCAGCACTGGGGTAAGAATGGAGTTTTTAATATCAAAATTAATAAAACCTAGCCAAATTAACTTTTAAAACCTCTGGAAATGAAACACCCAAATTCTACGGCATTTTAATTTGCCCTAATATGATCCCAATTACCTCACTTTCCACAATGGTCTTGTAAACCAACAACTTCACAACTACAATAGGTATGAAAACCAGCAGTCTAACAATCACTGGAGAAGGTGTGGAAGGAGACCTCTCCCAACAGGTACAGCCATGAAGACCCACTCACTATCTGTGCACGTGCATGCACAACTGTAAACAACATGGCCTGGTATCTACACACACATGCATGACCCTTTGGACAACGTGATGCCTTCAGTAACCATGTACGCATGTTTACCAAAGGAAAGGCAACACGGCACACTGAGGGCGCATGTGCTAAACCACTGACACTTGGCGCCTGCGCAAACCTGCAGGACCCCTGTGCGCCTGGGTAGTAGCTCTGTCATAACTTTCTTATGATTTTATATAGAATATCCATATAAGTTAGGCAAAGTGGCTAATATGTAATGTGGGGGTGGGGGTAAAGGGGGGAGAGGGCGCCTATATATAACCAGGCCTTTGGATGCGGATCCAACCCAGTCTGTGCTGGCACAAAACAAACACTGCTTCTTGTTGGATGCCCCTGTAGTCTGTCTCTCTGTGAGCACATCCTATATTTCTTGGGTTCTAGTGTCTGGGATTTGAAGGTGGTGATCATACCTCCTTTGTCACTAGGGTACAGGCCCCCAGACACTGAGGAATGTGACCTCACCTGGCGCTAGCAGACCAACTGATGAATAAGGGACTAACCCTTCCTGCATGCAGGTGCAAGGACCCTGGGAGCACAAGGGAACTCTGTAGGAACCAGCTCAGGGAGCTCCACCAGACAGATAGAAACCTGGATTCAAGAGCTAGACCTGCCCTAAGTGGCAAAGGGGAGACTGATCAACTCCAAGAGTTGCCCTAGTAGTGTATTGTGTGAGACAAAACCACAACCAGGCAGCAGGTTGGAGACATGAAGTAGGCTAAACCTGGAGTGGGTACAGAGTCCTAATGCACAGGTCCATGGTAATCCTCACACAGCTCATGGAAGTGTCAGGCTCTTCACAAGGTCTATGAGCCTGGGTCAGGTCAGGGATTTATAGGAACCTGCCAATGTTAAGAGGCACCTGAAACCTCTCTCTGCAAGGGGACTGGCCGGAGATGGTTTAAACAATTGCTCACTCTTTTCCTTTTCCCCACTCCTCATGCGTTTGATTGTCATCTGTTAGGGGGAATAAATGAGTGGCGAACAACATAAACTTACTCCTCTTGAGTGTATGATAAAAAATTTCAAAAAGGGATATTCTGAAGATTTTAGAGCTGACTCCCAGAAAACTCCGGACCTTCTGTGAAATAGATTGGCCCTCTTCCAGAGTAGGCTGGCATGCCAAGGGGGTCCCCAGATAAAGAGCTGGTTAGCAAGGTGTTCAGAGTTCTTGTAGGGGACCCTGGGCACCCTGACCAGTTTCTTTACATTGATTGCTGGCAAGGCATGGTCCTCTCTTGGCCATGATGGCTAAAGGCTTGACTGGAAGACAACTGTAAAATTATGATGGCCCAGGTAACAGCTCCCTTTTAAAATGCCAACTGGAACCTTGAGAAGCCCATTCTACCTGGGGAGCCAGAGGAGATCCCCCCACCTTAGGAATCCCTGTATTCCCCACTGCTGCTTGCACTACCTGCACCTACTGCAGCTGGAAACACGCCAGAGGATGCTCACACCCCTGCTGAAATCATAAGCAGATTAAGAGGCAAAGTTTGTGGCCTCTGAGGAGGCAACAACCAACAGCCCTGACTGCCACCCTATTCCCTAGTCCACTGGCAGAACGGGACCCCAATTACTGACAACCTGAGAACACCTGGTTTAAAACTGAAAATTAAAGTAAATTCCTGGGCTGATGGTAGAGATTTGAAGATGGCTCAATAGCAACTCCTGAGGCCCTGGCCCCAGCCTTTGTAAAACAGTGACAGACAGCTCTCAAGGCGAGTCTGAGCCCACATTTCTATATTCCCTGGCTCTCTAGTATGTCTCCAGCAGTATGTTAACAATATGAAAAATGTGCCTGGAATAACCCATGTCAGAGACCCACAGCCTTCCCTGGAGTACAAAGTGTTGAAGGGGCTCCATTTAAAAATATAGTTGGACTTCATTGAGTTCCTCAAATATCTAGGGCTATAAACATTTACTGGTCTTCATGTGTACCTTCTTAGGATGGGTAGAGAGGCCTTCCTGACTTGCAGAGAGAAAGCATATGAAGTAGCCTGATTTCTCCTAAAGGAAATCATTCCCTGATTTGGAATCCTATTCACCTTGGAATAGGATAATGGGCTGGCATTCATGCTGAGTTGGGTGCAAGTGGTGGCAAAGGGTTGAAGATCACCTGGAAGTTACATACTGCATATTGTTCCCAGAGCTCCAGGAAGGTGTAGTTAATGAACCAAACTCTATAAAGTTACAACTAAGAAAACTGTGTTAAGAGTCCCACCTGCACTGGGACCAGGTGTTGCCAACTGCTTTAAGAATTAGGTACAGCTCTACTAGAAAGAGAGGGTTCTCCCCTTATGAGATTTTTTATGGATGCCCTCCTCCCATTATAAAGGGTATATGAGGAGTTCTAAAGAAATTGGGCAACATTACTCTGAGACAGTAGGTACAGGCTCTTGGCTCGACCCCACGGATTAGTGAATAGCTACTAGTGAGCCTGACCACTGATGCCCATCCCTTTAAACCAGGAGATGCTGTTTGGGTAAAGAATGGAACATCCAACCCCTAAAGTCTCTTTGGAGGGGTCAGTTCACTGTCATTTTATCCACCCCTACTTCAGTGAAGGTGGCTGAGGTGGTCCCCTGGATTCAAAGCTGATTGAAACCAACTTCTCGTGATTAGGAGTGCATTCCCGATCCAGCTGTACCATGCAAGTGCAAGTTGACCATCTGAAACAAGCAAACTGCACCCCAAGAGACTCTTGAGGACAACAACCCACTCACGGCAGAAGCTTGAGGAATCGACCACCTGCCAGGATAAATAGACTATTAGTCCTTTCACCATAATGCTTTTGCATTGTTACCCCTTACCCCTCTCTGTTATCACAGTCTTAGCCTTAATTTTCACCATAGGATTAACAGAGGCTGCTCCACCCATCT